GGCGGCATCCCAGTCTGACGCATAGGCGGAAAATTTAGACCATGCATAACGAACACCCGTGGCACGGCTGCCCTGAGACAAGCTGTTTAGGACGGCCGGGAGGCATCGAACCGCTCGGTAGGCCGCACCGTCAGCGGCACGCAGGCGGAGGATAGGGTCCTGAGCAGCTTTGGAGAGTTCGGGAGAAGACACGGCGCCTTGAGGGATACCACGAATAACCGGAACGGCCAGCGTCAGGCCGACACGCGTATCAAGGCAGACCCGGGAGCCAGAGAACAAGGACCAGTGGAGTCGCCGCACCGAGCCAAGGAAGCCCCTAACCGAACCCCTACCTTGCTGCAGCGCGTCGATAAGGGGTAGCTGCAGGGTGTTGAAAATTTCTCGAAATCCGCAAGTACACGCAGGAGGGGAAGCTGGTGGCGCTGCGCGTCCCCTAACCAGAATGTCTGTGTAAAGGACCTCCGCAGTGGCCGACATCGCGTAGATAAGCGCATTGAACGGCTCGTCAGCTCGACCTGCAGGACCTGGAGCAGCTGAGTCGTGCGGCGACTGGCGTCTCTATGGCTTTGAGTGACTCTTTTAGCATGGATAAAGTTTAAAGGCCTCCAACCGCCAGACGGTTTAGGCAAGTGCACCTGCTCGGCGAGTTGCAGACCGGGGGCAACATGCCCAACCAGGCGGTGGGAGAGGAAGGCTTCCAGGTAGCAGAGCTTCCAGCCACTGGGGCCTGGGCGAGAGTCACGAAACTTTGCAGCCAGAGCGGCTCGATCTGGGGGTGACGTCCCTGCCACAAGGTATCACAAGTTGGTTAATTGGGGCATCCCAGCGACGGAGACACAGCGTCAAGGGTGCCGGCAGCTGTGCGCCAGGAATGCCGTTGCAGCTCAGCACCATAAAAGGCGTGCCCGGGGACGGATGCGCCAGGGAGGCCCTCCACCCTTGAGCTTCACGGGTGAGTCGCCAGTTACCAGCGCGCAGAAAGCTGCAGGAGAAGAAAGAAAGATTATCTGCCGCGAGCTGCGTCAGGTGCCATGAACCCGGGTTGAGCAGGGTGTGTCCAATGCTTGCGCGATGGCCGAAAAAAAGAAGCCATGACGAGGGGCAGAGTCCGTGACAAAATGCAGGATTGATTCATGATCCCAGGGAACAGAAGGTTCTTGCATTTGGCGACCCCATTCCTGTACAGCCCCGTCTAGAACATCCTGTGCACTGGAAGGGCGCCGACGAGTGCCGCTGGCATCCGCCACCCAGGGCGGAGTGTAGCGAGGAGCTGGCCCTGCAGCCGGCAGCATGCGGGAGGCAAAGGAGCTGATGTTGCCGGAGAGCAGTAGTTGGAGTCCTTGCTGGCGGAGGGAAGCAAAAAACTGTTCAGCGGAGGAGGACTGGCGACGCCCGGCTTCCAAAATCCACTCCCTCAAGAGTTGCACCAAACCCCAGAAAGCACAAGTATTAGGTTGTTTAGAAGCTCACAGCAAGAGTACTGGGAACCAAGAAATCGTATTCAACAACAAGAAACAATATCAAGAAAACAAAACCAAAAGGATCAAGAACACTTCGGAAAGTCATGGTCAAAGGTCCTGAATTACGGCATTCCCGGATGACTTCCAAAACATTGCTTGCACTTGTGAGTTTGACGTTGTTGGTGTTGTTTGTCAGTTTCGGATTTTGCTTTTCTTGGGTATGTGTTCTTGGTGTTTGTAATTTGATTTTGTAGGGCTGGCTGCTGGTCTTTATTGGTTTTGCTGACATGGTTTCTGCCGCATGCGCGGTGAGCTCGAACGAGGTCCAGCCCAGTCTTTCTGTTAGGTCCAAATTTTCGGCAGGGTTCTTAAACAGCCTGCTTCTAATTTCTGAGGAATCGCGAATCTTGGATAGGTCGTGCTGCTTCCCACTGGCTAGATAACTAGATTTGCAGCTCGACCGGTATATTGACGCCGCAGTCGATTCCGGGTTCTGCGGATAACTACTTGACAGCAGGGCTACGAAAGCTAGAAGCAGGACGGGGAAGGCTTGCTTTTACGCGACAGCAGCTAAGCGCAAGCAGCAGGCTCGCCCATACGAGGCAGTAGTGTTGAAACGGTGTGGCGGCTTGTCTCGCTCTTCAACGCTGTTGTGAGGTTCCCGCTCTACATGAAACCAATAACAATTGGCAACAACTCGAAACTCTACAAGCGGCTATGGACAACAGCAACTCGAAATACAAACAGCATGCTTGCAAGCATGGCCTTCAAGGGGGGGGCCGGGGGGACCGGGGGTCCTGCTAGGGGCCCCCCTCAACGCTGAAATCGTTTGGTTTAAAGCTTTTTAAGGCCCCGTGCCTTCGTTGCACCCACTGAACCATCTAGGAAGGAATTTGTAAACGACAACTCCCGCAAGCTCCAAAGAGCTAGCTTTCGTGACATCAAGCACCACGGCTCAAGACTTTGCTGTGCCTGCAGCTCCTTCTCCAAGTCCCAGGGTACCGGATATGTCGCAAGGTAGTTGGAAAGCTGAACATGCGACCCCCTTTGCGCTTTGTGAGCACGGCGGATGTCGGAGATGTCATTCGTGACGATGGAGGTGAAAATGGAGGCAAAGGCCATGGCCAAGGTGGTCATCAAAAAGGCCACTCCTCGCTCCTCCTGCGTCTTCAGCGACATATTGTCAGACATTCTTGAAGGTGGAAGTCGGGAAAGTGCCCACTCTGCAGCCATGCGATATTGGACCGATTGTGGCAAGCTCTCGAGGCCCTCATCTCGTACCCATCCGCCAGGACGATCTCCGACTGCATACCAAGTGCATGTCACCATGTGGAGCAAGAGTGCACCAGCCATCACAGCAAGCCTCAGAGTATAAAGGTCTGCACTTCTGACAGACAGAGGATGTGAAGGCAACTAAACTACGCAGCGGTAACCAGCGACAAGCTTGTCGTGAAGTCGCGAAAAGCTACGAACGAGGAGGCCGGAAAGATGGGGATGACTTGTGATGACTTTCGTCTGAACAAGAGATTTATAGCTGGCACTGGCTAGCTTCACCCGTATTTTTTTGATTCATGTGTTCAATATGACTCTTCTCTTTCTAACAGTGGGAGGTTCAGACGATCACAGGTCCATTCGCAGCTGGACGCATGACTGGGATAAGGCGCGCTTACATCGGCAATTTGTGTTCTTATGTGCAGGCTTAGCGGCAGTAAGTTTCCAAAAAAGCGTGCTTCCAGGCTGCGTCTCTGGATCCAGGGTCGGAGATGCCTCGGGCATCAATCGGATTCTCAAAATGCTTCGGATGTCTACCTTTGAACAGCCCGCTGCTGCCAGGTTGTGCAGAGTTGCCGAGCAGACAAGCACTCCCACAGCGTTTGGATGTACAGAATGCGAAGCAATGGCAGACCTGCACTCGTTTTGCTTGAGGTTGGGGTCTAAGTACAAGGAACTTCGAAAGGGGCAAGCTCTGCCTCGCAGCACCACTGCGAAGGGCACCATGCTGGCAACGAGTATGTATGCAGTTGAAGCAACAAAGAGTGTCTCCAGCGAAAGCCATGCGAGCCACTGCGTGCTTCGTGGCTCTCCCCGTCGCATCAGAAATGTGCCCAGAACGCTGGTGAGCCAGAAGGTGAGAACCAGTAAATCCAGCAGAGCGAGAGCATTCCCAGGAAAGGCCAGCAAAGGAATCCTGGAGACAAAGGTAGCTACCATGCAGTGCTTGTTGCTCACGCAACACAGACGGGACGGGACAGGACAGGAGAGGACAAGGCCGGACAGAGGCAACCCCAAGCCCCGACAAACATAAACAAACAAACACAAGCCTGGCCTGAATCCTTCCATGAAGATCATGATAATCGCGACGGCCGACCAACCTTCCAGCACAAGCGGGCTGCGGGAACTCTTGCGCATGGGATGGAAAGAGAGGTTCGTGGCGCAGATGCTTGGTCTGCGCGAACTGCGAAAGGAAACGATGTCCTCTTTCTCCTGCCAGATCTGATGAGCCTGGAACTTTGGCACGTCGGCATCGTCGTCGTCCAAGACCAAGGCTGCTTGCGTGATATTCCTGGACTTTTCAGCCATCCATGAGACTTGTCTGGTCCACTTCTTCTGTTGAGATGCAAGGCTGTCGTCCACGGACGCCTGCAACTGTTGCCCTGATGCCGAAAGCGCACTTAACACCTTGCTGTCCACCGATGTCTGCCTGTTGAGCTTGCTCTCGGACTGTTTTTGCTCGCCTAACACCAGTGGCATGGAGCCGGGCAGAGGAATCCCCTCACTTCGGCTCGGGGGAGGCGGTAAAGCATCAGAGGAATCCGATGCATTGGAAGGAATCCGATTCGATGCCAGAGATGAAGGAGTGTGATTGCTCGGCTCCTCCAGTCTGCACTCGCCGCCATCTACGAGATGTGCTCCATTGTCACTGAGACTGAAGGTCACGCGCGGAGTGTGCGTGGAGATCGACGCAACCTGGCAACAGACCCGAGGAAGCAGCACTTTCGAAGGGCAAACCATTCAGAAGCCACAATCCTATGACTACGATGCACGAAACGTGCTCGTGTCTGTGTAGTGCAACAAGTATGCACCGTCGTAGATCGAAAGCTTCCGTGCAAGACGCTACAATCCGGGACTTCACAGCAATCACAGGGTTTCAGGTCTCACAGAATTGATGGCTGTGCTTTGGCCACGGCGGCTGCGGAAGGCTTTGGAGGCAACGGGGACTACGTGCGACTGCAACGCTTCTGTAGGGCGGCCCAATGCTTGCTTCAAACTGCAACTGGCATCTGCGGCAAGCAGCTTGGGAATCCTTCCGAGCGACGAGGTCCCGCAGTATGTGCTCGACCCGTGTAAGGGCCTCTTGAAGCGCGGCCTCCGAGACATTCATCGTCAGGACTACTTGTGGCCTAATCGGCCGGGGCGGAAATAACCCTCTGTCGCTTGAGATCGTGGCCGGCGATCACTACACAGCTGCCTTCAACCATGAAGATTTTACGGCAGAGTCTGCAAACAGCTACTTGTAGTCTTGAAACAGCGCCTCCTGGCCTGGCCGACTTCGCCTGCTTTGGGCCTGAACTTATCGGCCATCATAAAGCCGACCTCAAAAAGCATCTGCAAGTGTTCCAGCGCTTGCGAATGAAGACCAGCTTCGGCTGCACACCTGCAGCTCATCCGCCATTTTCCTGGTCCGCTTGGCGCCGCCCGCATCGGTGGCACACACCAATGTCTCCTGTGCTCTCAGTACCGGAAGCAGGTTCAGAGAACTTCAACACTCGATGGCTCCTCTGGTTTGAAGCTTGGGATCGCTTCCCGAATGAATGCTCCGAGGTATTTCCTCAGCCAGAAACCACGGTCCCTTCACCAGACGACTGCTGATGGCCCTGTCGCCCTTTTGGGCTCTGGCTCGCAGGTCAGCTCATCAAGCGCAGCCTGTGCTGGGCTGAAGCCAGCTTCGGCCTCTGGGCATCTGAGACCATCTATCAGCTCCCTTTGCAGAGCTCTCTTTGCCCTTTGCCTGGTTGTGCAGGTCAATGGTGACGAAACGGTCAGCCCCTGCAGTTGCCATCAGGTGCAGCCTTGGACTAAGCCCCGAAGCTCGAGGCGGAGATGCCGAGCACAAGATCAGCTTAAATGTCTTAAATGTAAGCCGGAGCCACAGGAGCTTCGGGGCGATGGCTTCTCCCGCCTCGAATTTTCTATCCTCGCGTGTCGAGCCAAGGCTGTCTCATCCGGTTGGGGCACATGACATGACTTGCTGCGCCTGCCGGGCATACTCAACGCAGGGCAATACCACGGTGATACGGTGCGGCGACTCGGACTTCAGTGCGTCCAGCATGATCAGCAACTGCGGCAGCACGTGGCATCAAGAATTCTGCTGAAGGCGTGAACTGACAACTACTTGTACCGAAGCGAAGCGTCTGTCTTCGCGGACCTGCATGAGCATGAAGTTGATCTCGCACTCAAAGTCATCTCGCGCACAAACCTGCTGCAAGCACACGCACCAAGTGGGGGGCGGGCGATCGCACCATCAGTGATTCCCGTTACTTGTCGGGCTTTTGATGTCCTGCTGCAATGAAAGGAAGCGAATCGCTGCGATCAGGGACAGCTCTGTGCAGTCCAGGGGCCACGAACACGTCATAATTGGATACGGATTGCTCCAGCTTCACGGAGATCTCTCCATTCGCAAAAGTGCGGAAGCGGGCCTGTCCGGCAGAAGACAAACACTGAGTGACGCAATTCACTCGACTCGACTATGGCGAGAACAAGCCTTCCTACGAACCCCTCGGTCCCATGTTCCAGATTGAGGCTCTTGAAGCTACATCGCCAACACCCTGCAGGGTGGGGAGTTTAGTTTACAGACGTTCCGGGCTGTAACCGGATGGCTGACTTCACACGCCTGTTGTCCTACAGTTCCAAACTAAGTCTGCAAAAACCCTACGTCAGCTTCACCATCGCCACACTCTTCCTATTCCATCAAGTTTCTTCTCCTCGCTTACTCGTTAGTCATCATTTGTGTCAACCTTCGTGCCCAACGTAGTCAAGGGCTTCGGTGGCTTGCGATACTTGGATGCTACAACCATCCCCGAGTATTGCACAGCATCAGCTAACATCCAGCAGTTGAAGGCAAGTCACCTGCCGTCACGCCGTGTAAGTCAGAGTATAGGTGGGTTTCGGCACTTTGCTGCATGTTTATACTACACGAGTGTACACATGCAAAGCGTGTCAGCATACACCTGTGCATAAAAATATGAACATGCATGCACATGTATTGTCTACTTCTGTATAAACCCACCTGTGTGTTTAAACTTACACAAAAAATGTATATATGTATGAATATAACATATCTATAGATATATACATATATATATACATATATGTATATATATATATATACGCACAAACGGATCACATCAACCGTCAGAACAACATCTTTAGCATCCGAGTTTCCGCAACATCACAGCGCAGTACTGCCACCCGAAACTCGACAACGCCTGCCTTCCCTATGGTCCAGCTCAGGTGAGCAACGGTCTTCTCGCATAAATCCCTGCCAAACGCAGACTTGCCGCAGGTAAACGCAAAGGCTGGCCATGTATCAAACACCGATAAGTAGTAGCAGCTGTAGCAATAGCCGTAGCCGAGCCGTAGCAGTAGCAGCAGCGGTGGTGGTGGTGGTGGTGGTGGTGGTGGTCGTCTGGCAGTAAAGCTTGCCCCCCTAATACTAAACCCCCTTCACCCCCCCCCTCCCCGCCCGGTTGTTTGTATTAGTTGGGGTTTCGGCGCATCGGGGTATGAGTCTCCATCGCGCAGCCGTTCCGGCTGTACCAGCCCTAAGCTCTGGGCCCTGAACCCTAAGCCTTACGCCCTAAACCTTAAGCCCTAAGCCCCTAAACCCTAAAGCTCTGGGAGTAGCACTACTGTAATCTTGGCTCTACTGCCGCTAATAATAATACAATCCTAGGCCCCCCCCTAATGTTTTCTGATTAACTTTCAATTGCAGGCCCGAAACTGCGAATCCGGGGGGCCTGGAGGTTTTTCATATTAGGGAGGTTTAATGCTAGGGGGAAGGGATTCATAACCATGGCAGTGCCAAGGTAACGGTAGGAGTAGGAGTAGGAGTCGGAGTTTGACTAGTAGTAGCAGTAGTAGTAGTAGTAGTAGTAGTAGCAGTAGGAGCAAGTACTAGTACTAGGAGTAGCAGTAGGAACAGGAGTTGGGCGAGAGTGTCGGCGTTGGGATGGATTCACGGGGCTGCCCCACTTGCCGCTTTTACCTCACCCACCCACTTGCCCCACCCGGAGGAACAGGAGCAGCAGGAGCAGCAGCAAGCAACGGCAGCAGCACCACCAGGAGCTGCAAAGTAACAGGGAGGTGTTGACAGCATAACAACTACAGCTGCGAGCCCCGTCCTGTTTCCTGGCGTGCAGAAGACCACAGGTGGGTGACCGACCTGTTTTGCAGATCATGGTTGGATATCACTGGACACCAAAAAAACGTTGGGCTCTTGCCCTGAAAGTACACCAGTAATGAAATCATGCCGGCAGGTCTGGAACATGAACCCCTGACATGACTCAAGCTGGCTGCATGATTCTCGCATGCACGCACACTACAGGTGTAGCTGTGTAGAGCGGCTGTTGCGAAAATCCATGAGTTCAACTTCTGGGTACATTCGTCCCGGAAATGAAGCATACTAGACATGTCACGAAATGAGTTCAGTGCATGATCTGTGCCTCTCATCGTCATGTGAAGCTAATCCGGCCGTGGGCACATGCATTATGAGCTGCAGCTGTTGCTTGCGAGTCGCTTTCGAGGTGTTGCTGCTGACACTAAGTCGCCGAAGAGACGACAACATGGTGAAGTCTCAACTATGTCACAGCCGCAGCTGTTTTTTTCTCGGCAGGCAAGTCCCGCATCCGAGCTGACACGAGAAGTTTCCTTTGCGGACGGTCCTCTTGTGCAGCAACTTAAATCTTCCACTTGCCGGGCATGCAGCACGCCACATTCCGTCTTGCACAGTCTGTGATCGTATGGTCTGCTGCCCAACAACCGTAGCTGCGCGCCATATCCAACTTTGATACGCACCAGGGAAAGTTTCTGGCAGGAATCTTGGAACTCTACACTCTACGCAGAGATCGCTGCAGTGGGACATGGCAGCTAGGATGCGGATAACTACCGTGCTGACAGCGCCAGCTATCAAATGTTCACGGGCTTTGCCCGGTTCGTTCACCTGGACTCTGTCCCGGAGCTGTATTGAATCCACACTAGCTAGTTTTTATCCTGAAACTTGAAACTGCGCTGCATGTGAGTATCATCGGAGGCTCTGGTCCAAAGCCACGGAGAACGGCATAGCATTTACTGAGCTGGCAAAGCGGCTCAGCCGGGAAATCTTGCTGCGGGGAAGCAGGAAAATCGTTTGATTCTCGACAAGCTTGCACATCCGAAACAGGCGGCTCTGCTTCTTGACCTTCTTGTACCTATCAAACGTCGACTAGGATTCCACCCGCTTGACACCTCACGAGGATGCATGTCAGGAATCAGGGGTCACATGTGCACTCCCAACACGGCACATGTCCACTCCCTGCTGTCAGTTTTGCCCGGCTGTTCCTGAGGATGCATCAGCTATGCCGGAACTGTCGGCGGACTGTTGTCAACTTCTTTCGGGTTTTTGGTTGTCTGTCCTTTCGTGTCTCTTCCCAGATGCGGTGGCGCAGAGAAACGGAACAGCCAGCAAAACTGATGGCAAATGCCGCGGAGAGTGTAAGGCTGCTTGAGCTGTGACTGTAGAGCCGTACCACAGCTCCTAGCTGACAGCGCGTCACCTAGCAGCGGACCCGTACCACAGGTCAACAGCAGCTCGAGGTAGAGGACTGCCTCTTAGTAATGTCAAATCCGATACTTTGTTGAATCTCATACTGAATGGACCGATTGTCAAGAGACCGAGATCGTACTGGCCGAGTCCAAGAGCCTGGTTTCTGGGCTCTTGGGTCTGCCTGCACGCAGACCCACGCAGAGCAGAGGAAAATGCACCTCAAACCCAGGCTGCCGCAGGAATTACCAAGACATCAGTACTGAAAGGCCTTGCATGACTCCAAGCACTGGCAGACTAGAAGCAATTCTGATTACTTGGTCGTTGGCTCAGCCAACAGTGCGGGGCGCCGGGTCAGGAAAATCCGAAACGCCAGTGGCCTAGTGCTGGAACAAGAAGCGCAGGTCCTGTGCTATCACATTCAAGGTGCTGTACTTCAGAGATTCAAGAGACACTACTTCTGCCATGTCCTGTTCTGTAAGCTTTCCGAGGGAGGTCGCGGAGCCATCGATGGAAGCATCGAAGACCAGCTGCTTCTTCTCCTCAGACGAGCCACGCTCTCTTTATATACTCTTGGGCCAGCGCAAGCCCGCATGGCGTCGCGGATCCGGACGAAGGGTCACTAGGCTGCGGAGCAAGGCTATGGCTGCAATAAGCCCTCCAAGCTGACTCTCCTCGTTTTGGGGGCCGTGCTGAACCCTTTTCGAAACCTCGCTTGGCAAGCCGCCTGGAGTTTGATGATTTTCTCCTCGATAGTATCCGAGGTGATGAATCTGACAGCCTGAGCTGAAAGTAAGCGCAGCATGAGACTGGCGACCCGTAGCGGCGTAGCGCGGCGGGAAGAGCGTCAAATCTAACCCCACGGCTGAAGTGACACTCGGAGAAAACATCGGGAGTTTCAATTTGAGCAGTAACTCCGGGCCTCGTGGGGCTGGTCTTGGAGTTGCTGTCGAAATTTGAAGTCAAGTGCCAAGACTCACGGCTTCCCCAGACCGAACCAAACCATCGAATCAAACAGACAACGTCCTTCAAACACCGAAGGTTGCCTGGTTCCTGCAAACGAAGCTTAAACAACGGCTGTTGCAGGAAGTAGCTTTCACAGCTTTGGTCTGTCCAATGCGGTGTGCTCGCTGGATGGCCTCCAAGCGCTCATATGATCTCACTTGCGCTAGTCGCTGCGGCGCAGCCATTGGAGATGAAGCCCGCTTTCGGCCTGCATCTCACTCGCAGGGTTCCACCAAGGATCCATGAGGAAGACGTGATTGGCCACCTGCACGGGAGAGCTAAGCTCCAGAACCCCTGAGGAAAAGGGGATGTTCACAAGATCTCACGTCTAGCTCTGCAGGGTGTGCGCGCTTCTGCGCTGACACGCTCCATTCAATTTGTGCGGAGGTAGCCGCTCCGGCCTGCAGGTTCAAGCCTTCGCCTCCCGCTTTCAAGGAGATAAGGATGACCTGGCGCCGCCGAGACGACTGCAGGGGGGTCTAGAGTCTAGACCACGGGCAACTTCCCTGTACGAGTGTCGAGGCAATTTTATTCGACTTCGGACTACTTGGACTCTTCGTCCAGCTCGTGGGGAACTGGATCAAGGTGTATGGACGGTCGACTGCTTGATCTAGATCAGGATGCTGCATCCAGTGTTGACGCCTCAGCCCTCAGCCTACCAAGTCTTTCCGGAGTATTCTCCGCAAGGAACACGCCCACAACGCAGAGAAAGTGCAGCTTCGGTTTATGACAACGACCTGAAGATGCATATCATATCTACATTAATGTAGTGGTTCAGGTTCCTCCGATAGTCGATGTTGCGTATATGAGCAAGTGTGGAGGTTGTATGTTGCCCTGGTCATTTATGTTCGTCGCATTTCCCGACGTGACAAAGCAATCGCGACGTAGAACCCGTTGTTGCTTCCACTTTAGGGTTGGTCGCTATACCTATCCAAAACATATTAGTGATTCCACGTTGACACTAAATCGTTCTCAGGAGCGGACATCTCGTATCATCTTCTATTCGGTCTTCCATTGTGTGCAGTGGTACATGAAATCACATCCATGTGAAGATTACCGTCTTCGGTAAGCTGCCTCGTGTGGAGCACTGTCTCAACATTTGCAACTGCAGAACTGTGGCCTGGTTCTCGAGGCAAACAACCACAATGACGACGACGATGATGATGATGATGGTGATGACGATTATGGTGACGATGATGATGATGATGACGATGATGGTGATGGTGATGGTGATTTATGATGACTATCACGACGGTGATGGTGCTGGCGATGGCGATGATCATGATCATGCTCCCGAATGCCGGAAACATAGTTCAAAAGTGACGATTACAACATAAGGCAAGCGATAAAAACATCATGAAACCTCGTCGGCACCGCATCGATAAACCACTGTAAACCCGCGAGATGTTCAGCTCGGAACTGGTCCGGTGTTGTGTGGTCAAGTCTTTCCTGGTGAAACATTCTGCAGGCACGGCATCAGAATTCATCCTGCAGGTTTTGCCTTCCTCGGTCATATAAACTATAAACCTCTCGCGGCCACGACCACGAGGGGCTGTGCTTTTTTGTCTGCTCTTTTCCTCCTGCTTAGTCGGAATACTACGTGGAGAGGGCTTGGGGGGTAGACGGTTTAGTGTGTGGGGTTGAGGGTGGGTCGTTTGCAGATTGCAGCTTGCTTAACGATCAACCTTATTCCGCACCAGTGCTGTGCAAAAGACAGGCCTTCATGTTGGGATCCTCATTGAAGGCTGCCAGAGCATCTTCCCGCGCCTAGAGGGGAAAATTGCGTCTCGATGGAATCCAAGCCACTGCAGAATGGAACGGACAAAGCACCTGCCTGCATAGACATGCCACCTCGGAAGATGACCTTAAAAAACAGCACAATGGGGTGCATAGGGCCCACGAGCTACAGAACAATCATGAAGACATTGATGCCTGCAATTTGAGCACAAACTTCCTCCAAGCCGCGCAAGTAATGCCGGCTCGCTTCAGGCGAAATTCCAACAGCCTGTCGACTCACTCAAGGCTGCTCTAGCTGGCCATCTCAGCTGTGGCACAGCTCGACTCTTAGCCAACAATGCTGCTGAGGTGCTCAAGCATGGAGCCGAATTGCGAAAACACGATCCCCTGGCCGAGCAACACCAGTCTGAGCATCTCTAACCAACACATGTATCATCATGTATCTGGCACTCCTTGAACTCTGCAAGGCTCCTTGGCGCCATTATCGCCTTGAATCATCTTGTTGATCTCGTCTACGACCGCTTCGATCTTGGTACTGCTTTGGAACTCGGAGGCTTTCACCTGTGAAATCAAGCAGTGCCCATTCTCCACGAGGGCTTGCAGCAGGGCTTGCATGCAGCAGCATGCAGCAGCATGCAGCAGCACCTTCTTCATGATGCTCCCGGGCCCGAAACCGCCCTTGGCGACAGACTTGGAGGTCTCTTCAGCGGGCGCCTCGGCAACTAGGGCTGCATCTCCCCTCTTCAGGCAGCGAATGAAGTAATTAAGGCAGACCACCGCATCAAACGCTTGACAAACAGCAAGAAGCTGCATAGTGCAGTAGAGGTGCCGGCAGCGCCAGCTTTGCTGTCTTTGCCTAACGAGTTGCCCGCGTTATCCCATGTTCGGCAGGTCCAGCTCAGTAGGAGCTACAAATAGCAAGAACGTTGTCGATAACAGGTCACGAGATGTGATCGGATGCCAGCCAATGCCCATACAGCCCTGTGAAGGTCCAGTGCATCGTGAAATCAAGCGTTCCCACCTTGGCCTTGGGTGCAGGGCTCGAGCTGCGTGGCCTGAAGCTCTGGTCGCTGGAGATCTCTTTCGGCAGTTGCACTGTCCCAAAAGCTGAGTGAGTGGACTTGGCGGTCTTCGCTGGCGTGCAGTACACAGCTTTTCGAGACTTCTTCTTCGGCGTCTCCTGCACGATGACTCTACTTGGGGATGCAATTGATCCCGTGGCTGGATCGCATCCTTGTGGTTGCCTTACGGCTCCTCGTTTGCAAGACACTAGCTTCTTGGCAAAAGCGGCTTACATTGCCTACGACACTTTGTTGGACATGCTTGCAAAAGGGGTTTCTGGCCTGTCGGCCGCGGTGTCATCATTACTCAACCCTGGGCCGTAACCAAAGGAGCCTCCGTGCCGTCACCTTCATCGTCTGCATCCTGGTGCCAGGAGGGCATTACGACAAACGGGGCTGATGTGATCGCTCGAGGCCTCGAGGTTGACTGTCAACTTTGTGAAGCAGACTGGACATCCAACCTCAGGGCTGCAGAACCGGAAGGACACCAAGGGCTGTTCTGGTGGTGCTACCGTAGGTAGATGCTCGAGTGCACCCTACGACGTGCGTGCGCGCTAGCACGCAACAGCAGCTTTAACGGCACTGGCAGCATGAGTCCTGTCTGGACGGTCTCCAATCTCTGACCGCCGCCTATTCACCATTAGTAGGGATGATGGTGACGATTGTGAAAGTAAGGATCATGAAGTGGACCACGACGACGGGAGCCTGCGGTCAAAGCACTCCTCCAGACTTCAGAGCTGGTGCGTCGGCGATGTATGCCCGGATGCACTCATCATGGAAAACCTCAGAAGCGAAGGCAAAAAGCTGAATCCAATCCTGTTCTCACTGCGAATCGAAACACGGAGGCGTTCTTGTGACACACCACATCTTGCTGCTTTTTCGCTGGGGCAGTGTGTGCCTGCGCATGCACTTGCCTTTTCCATTGGCGCGTGGGTATGTATGTATGTATGTATGTATGTATGTATGTACGTATGTATGTCTGTCTTCATTCAATTGTCTATGAATGTATGCGTCCGTGTGTGTTGTAAGCTATAAGTATGTGAATCTGTATTCGTGCATGCATGTTGCGTGCGTGCGTACATATGTCGGTAGGCAGGGCTAGGAAAGTAGTTACTAAGGTAGGTAAGTAGGTAGGTAGGTAGGTAGGTAGGCAGGCAGGTAGGTTTAGGTGGGCAGGCAGGTCGGTAGGTCGGTAGGTCCGTAGTTCAGCAGGTCGCAGATCCTTACGTCGCTAGGTCGGTAGGTCAATGGGTTGGTAGGCAGGTAGGTCAATGTGCATGCTAATTTGTTTGCTTGCTTGTTTCTGTGCTTGCTTTTTGGCCTCTCTGTCTGTCTGTATGTAAGTGAGGGTTTGTTTGCCTGCCTGCCTGTCTGTCTGTGCCTTGCATGCTTGATACACGGGTAGACATAATTAATATAGGAGAGGGTAAAGGAAAGACAGAGAGAGAGAGAGAGAGGAAGTCGTCTGTGCCTCGTCTCTATCCGTCTGTGTCTCCGCGAGCTTCTGTTTGCTATGCAATATATGTATCGATGTCCATGCCTGCTTCGAACAGCCAGGGGACATGGCCGCATTTTGCCTCTCAGGAACATGCATGGGCTCTGCCGCTGGTGTCTCGCAGAAACGTGTCAGGCTGCCGGCCTCTCGCATGGTCTCCTCGTTCTCGTCTATGTCGTCCTGAAGCATAAAAAAAAACTTTAGTGGGCTGTCGTGGGTTTAATCTCACACGCTTGCCGTCCACCCCTACCGGGCCCCTGCCTGGCAAAGGCCGCAGACTTTTCCTGCGTTCGCAGGCAGCAAGGCCTTGCCCGCAGGCAGCTTGTGCGTCCCCTGCCATGGCTAAGAGAGACAGCGACTTGTCACAAGCGCAACGGCTGTGGACTTGGGAACGTGTTTGCGTACATGGGCTGCGGGCCTGCCCACCCCCGTACACAATGAGGTACGGGTGATCCACCGCTCGTCGCAGCGAGGTCAACAAATCGAAGATGTGGGCATAGTTGTGCCTCAGGCCGCATCGGACCGTCGGTCTTGGTCACGGGTCATGCGAAGGTAGGATACGACTACTGCAGGACTGCAGGAAAGGTACAAAACGGTGCCTGAGTGCACGAAGGTGTCAAACTTGACCTCATCGGCAAATCGCCACGTACAAGAAAGTAACAGTACTGCCGTCAAATGCAACCGAGCTGCGCAAGACCTGGTCACAGCGGCATGCTCGTAACAGAATGATGACTCAAGATTCTGTGATGGTCATGGCCAAAACGCCAACGAATGACTGTTATCCGACTTTTCGATGGACCAGTCTGTCCAGTGACGCTTTCAAACTTCAAACTACTATCACTGCTACAGGGCATGGCATCAAAGGCATTGCATATATGTGGCCAAGGTTGTTCTCGTGCATTTTTTACGGTTGATTACATCGCTGCTCTGCTTGCTCAGTCTTTCGCTCGCGTCTGCGTGGTGCAAGTACTACAGTAGTGCTCTTCCTCTCACTACTCGCTTTATCACGAGTCTAAGCTTATCACAACTCTAAGCCCCAGATGCCCGTGCTCAACTATGAACCATCGCACGTCGAGATTTGAGTCTAGGACTCAGGGCTTGCGGGGTAAGTGGAGCCGAGCATTTGACTGGGTTGTTGAGGGTCCTCGAATGCTGGGGCGGGGGATAAGGGGTGGGGGGCTTCAAGCCGAGCACCCCATTAATTAATTTCCGGTTCTTCTGCACCTTAGACCTTGCTAGGACTGAAGTACTTCTTAACACCAAATCTACAAGTGTGGATACGAGAATTGTGTAGACATGTGCAAGCTATGCCACTACTGCTTGGCGGTCTGCTTGGCACTGTATTCCTTGCTTGCCTGCTTCCCTCATCTTTCTTTGTCGTCTGCATGTTCGCTTGCATGCTTGCTTTGCGGGATCTTGCAGGATGCTTTCTGGGAAGACCGAGATGGAAAGAGACAACAACACGTGAACAAAGAGCGAACCACTATGAACCAACAGGAATTCAATAGGACAACCTTGCCAGTCATCGTGCTCAAAGATGCTCCAAGGAATGTTGACCATTCGGGGCCAAGTGGCTGCATGTAGATGCTGGAGTAGAAATCCATTTCCTTCGAGGGCAGGCCATACTGCGCGCCAGGGTTTCCCCGGTGCCCCAAAGCGTTGGCAAGACCGCGCCTGCTTTGACAGCTTGTCCTTCCGAATGATGACCTCCAGAGATCCATTGCTTGAGAAAGTGGGGACAGAGCAAAAGAAGGGCAGTGGCGGGTGCAAGGTCCCTTGGCTCCCTTGTCCCGAGCCTTGATCGGTGGCAGCTTGAGGTCTGCCTCCCAGGACGTTCGATCTTGAGTTCATTGCGAGGGTCTTCAGATCTCGCGGTTCTGCGACGCTATGGGCGAGGACCCCCAAGACTTGTTCCGATGGCCTTTCTTTCCTCCTTCGTGCGTCGGAGCATGCAGCGCTGCAGGATGTCCTGCACCGACACTCCGACCAAAAAAGGGCCTAGGGAAGTCGTACAGGGGGGGACCCGGCTTCACGGACATCTTTCCGACCTGAAGCCTGAGCCCAGGGATCCTGCCGGAGCTTCCCGAAGGCTGTCTTACCTGCACCCATGTAGCCGAACTTGATGATGGGATTGGACCTGCTCGTTTTCGCCAAGCTCTGCCGAGTTCAGGAGCCACCAATGGGCAATTCGGAGCACACCGAGTCTCTGAGAGCTGCGCACATCTCTTTTGAAGCTGGAGTAGTGCCTCATGTTCGCGGGTGCAGGCACAAAAGTAAAGGTAGCCGGGAGCCCAAACCCGGAAACTGTCAAACGGGCCCTGCAAACTCCGCAACAGGATCAGTTCTTGAAGTGACCAGGAGACTTCGAGAGAGCTTGCATCTGCTATTCACCGTAGCAGGCAAGAAGCAGAAATCGTACGTGGCCGCAGTTCGGGCAGTACCGCTCCCGCATGAAACAGGCGCATTCGCATTTGCACCCCTGCAGGCGGAATCAGAAACGGCTTCATGAGTCGAGAAGGCACTCCTTTCCCGGAAGATGCCTGCTTCTTGCAATAGTAGAAGGCATAGGGTCGCACACGAAGAAAGCCTTGAGCCAGGGTGGGGGCCCTCTGGCATAGATCTAGGCTTTTGTGGAGGCTTCGCAGAAGGTGTCTGAACAAGCGAGAGGCAGCAAATGAATCGTATCGTCCCATTCTTGTCAATTAACTATTCTAGTCAATGACTTCTGCCGCGTTGCTGTCGGAGTAGTCAGCTGGCGCTGCACCGGATGCTCTTGCTGCTACTATTGACTGCTGGTGATAGCAACAATATCGAAAACTAAAACAACAAACAATACTAGTACCGACCACCACTGCTACTGCTACTTCTTGCCAGGATAGGTCTTGCTGCGGCTTCACTGCTCGAGACAAGGCGCGGATGAGCGAGTAGAGCTCCCCAACCCGATTTTGCAAAGGGGTTCCTGTCAGGCACCACCTGCCAGAGACGAAAGAACTACAACAATAGTTGCAAACCCAGTAGCATCGAGTCCCATGAAAAATTGTGAAGGAGAGAGACTACTGATAACCATTTTAGCACAACTGGTATCACTGGCAGTGGTACGAACAGCCAATTGTTCCCTGACGACAACAACTACTTCTCCTGCTGCTACTACTACCGCTACCGAAACCTCTAGCGCTACCGCTGACTGCTACCGCGACCGAGGCCGTGACTGCGAATGCCTCTACGACTAACTACTACGTCTACGTGTAAGACTACCTACCACCACGACTAATGATTCTCATACTGTTACATTACATGTATATATATATATATGTATGTATGTATATGTCTATACATATACATATATATAAACATATATTATATGTATTCATGCTGATGCAGATGACAATGCAAGTGCTGCTACTGCTACTACGACTGCTGCTGCTGCTGCTGCTGCTGCTGCTGCTACTGCTACTGCGGCTACGGCCACGACGACTACTACTGCCCCTTCCGGATCTACTGCTACTGCTACTGCTCCTGCTCCTCTGCTGCTGCTGATCTGC